CTTAATGAATCTAAAATGTTAAAATTTGCTTATAAATAGGAATGGAGGGAGTACTCTTGATGATGTGGGTTCAATACTGCACTGGTTGGCAGAAAAACTTTCTTTCACGCTTGTACCACTTGTACCTTTATGAACTTCATTGTCTTAAATATCCAACTAATTTGAATTTGTGTGGTTTAATAGACCCATCAAATTTAATTTTCGCATCATAAAAACAACATAAGTACAATTCAAAATTAAAATACGCAAACAATAATAATAAAATATAACTTATACCTCAAGCACATCGCGAGTAAACTTCTCGGACACCTTAACCTCAGTCACCGTCTCTAGCTCCTTTTACTGCTTCTGAACACTCTCCCGCACTGTCTTCAATAACCTCCCCTCTCCTCCTCCAACTTCATATCCTGCTCCTCCCTCCACCTCTTATTCTTCTCCTCAAACTTCTTCATATCCTCCTCGAATTTCCTATCCTGCTCCTCCCTCCACCTTTTCATTTCCTTCTCAAACTTCATCCTATCCTCCTCCAACTTCCTATCCCGCTTCTCCATTTCCTTTTCCACCTCAACAATAACAATATCTTTAATTCTCTCTCTCTCTCTCTCTCTCTCTCTCTCTCTCTCTCTCTCTCTCTCTCTCTCTCTCTCTCTCTCTCTCTCTCTCTCTCTCTCTCTCTCTCTCTCTCTCTCTCTCTCTCTCTCTCTCTCTCTCTCTCTCTTATGGGTTTTCCCACTAGATGATTTAGGTGGTCCAAAAAAACCTTAAAGGCAATGCCTCTTCCAACACCACAGACACACTCTAGATGCTCCTCGATTCCAATCGCTTCTACCAAGATGTCATGACGATCTTGTGAAGTGAAGAGGCCAACTTCGGTTTGTTCAACTAGCTCATCCTACAACACATATGAAAATTCATCTTTAACAAATAGATTTAACTTGAATAAATAGTGTTGAAAATAATATCTACATACAATCCTTTGAGCCACTCCACGCGTAGCATCTGATGTGAACTCGCCGTCTTTTCTTAGACGTGCCCTCTTCTATTTCTCGTGGTGTGATGGTGGATATGGAGTGCGATCAAGACTTATAGATCCTCCTAGCTCTTCCTCTCTTTGTTTTCTTTTTTCTTCAATCATCGCCTTTTCAAGTTTACGATATCCTCCACAAGACAATCTATATGGATAGATATTTCTAGCTTGATTTTCCTTTCCTTTTTGGCTCTTTTCCAAGAATTTAGGAGTGGTGCGTGACTCTACAAATTTCTCCCAAACATCTTGATCAATATATGGATACACATCGTATGAAGACTTTTATTTATCTTCTCCATGTTTAATATAATCATGGGTGAGCCGTGTCTTAAAGCCCCTCAAACGCTCACCACAATGTGTAATCATCTTCTTTTTCATATTATCATTATTTAGACAAACAATGAATACACCTTATATTTACACAATAGATATGTTATTAGTAATAATAAACACATCCTATATTTACACATCCTACGTTTACATAAATCATAAAATACCTAAACATACAGTCATATGGCATATTTCAAATCACCATCAACATCGTGTCAACTATCAATCAAAATGCTTACTTTACTTATACCTTGTGACGCAATGTAACCCATAAAGTCGCCAGCGTGTTCACCATAAGCCCTTCTGGTTGCAACATCAATTGTAACTGGGTAGCGAATACCAGTTTCTTGGGCTTTTTTCATCTTGGCATACATCGTGGACCCTATAGTTTTTCTTATATGATTTGTATTAATAAATGTTGCAGCAGATGTTGTATGGGAGGTGCTTGTCGAATCGGCCATGACTATCAAGAGAAATGATATAAACCTTAAAATGATCAAGAAAAACCATACGCTTGAATAAAAATAAATGGAAAATCGCAGAAACAAAATGATCAAAAGACAAATTAACGTAGAACTTTATACAAAATGATCTATGAAAAACAAAGTGATATATAAATCGTTTCAGTAAAGAACAAACCTGTTGCGAAATGACTTTTGATGAATATCTATTGGAAGAGTTTTGATGAATATTGCTTAGGGTTTTTGCGAAATACGAGTGACAAAATTACGTTTGGGTGTTAATAGGTAAATGAAAAGTTAGAAACTAGCTAGATTGTAGTCCGAAGTTTCTCATGCAATAAATATTTCACGTTCGTTTTTCTATAAAAAGCGACGTGGAATTATTAACAAAAATATAAAATATAAAAAACACAGTAGTACCATATTCTGGGATTTCAATTAAAAGATATATAACGTCGATTTTTGTTGTATCACCGAGAGGTTTGAAAATACCAAATAAAAAATTAAAATAAGATATTGAAAATAGTATTTTGAAATTGATTAATGCAAAATATATTACCTCTCAGTTGGACAATGTCACCGAGTTAAATACTAATAAAAAATAAAAAAAATAAAAATAAAAAATAACTTGGAAAAACGCCAAGTGAGAAATACAAACTAAAAAACAGAAGAAAAAAAAACATAAAATGCAATGACTGGGTGTCGAAGTGAGTTCCCTTATAGATTAATTTCCTCGTTTTTTTGAAAAACCGAGGTAAATGGTTGTTAATTTCTTAAAAAATAAATAAAAAAGTTGGCGCTCCCAGTACCTATTCCCTCGTTTTTCTATTGTTTGAGGTGTTAGCTTCGTCATAAAAAGTGTTATTTGTTGTAGTGAAAGTGACGATTAAGAACAAGTATCCACTTTCAAGAATTGACGATTTGATGGACCAACTGGTAGGAGCTTGTGTGTTTAGCAAAGTTGATTTGAGGTCAAGTTACCATCAGATCCGAGTTAAGGATGAAAATATTCAGAAGACGGTGTTTATAACTCGATACGATCATTACAAATATTTAGTGATGTCTTTTGGAGTGTCGAATGCACCTTATGTGTTTATGGAGTATATGAATCACATTTTCCATCCTTATCTGGATCAGTTTGTCATAGTCTTTATCGAAGATATTATGATTTATTCTAATTCTAATGAAGAATATGCAGGGCATTTAAGGATTAATGTTATACTGTGACATGGCATGAATCTTTTTTGTTCATGTATTATTGGTGAATGAGAATTCAGTATAATTTGCAGAAAAAAATTAATGTTATATTGTGACATGGGATGAATCTTTTTTACTCATGTATTATTGGTGAATGAGAATTTGGTGATGCACTTTGGAACAATCTTCTATTATGGTTCGACGATAGGGGTGTACCTAGGCTACAAACACTTTAATGTTCAAGTCAGTAATGATTGTAAGCGTGAAGTTTTATATTAGAATTAAATGTACATGCCTGAGATCAATCCACTATCTACCTTTTATATGAAGATTTTAGAGTTTTCAAGCTCATATAATCTCCGATTTATCATAATCTTTAGCCTTTTGTCAACTTTAGTCATGTGTATTTTTAGTGCATATTTACCTAAAAACTACAAAGTATCATAACATTTTTCGCAGACAACTGTTCTATGGGGTTGACGTTGGTCTGTATAGTTATCCGCTTGATTCAACAACATTTAGGTATTAGGTTGGTCTCGATCTATTAAGATGCTAAGGCAGAACAATTGATAAGTTGAACTTCTTCGTGAACATTTTCCTTAAGGGGTTGACGTTTATCCAGTAATCTTTAGTCTCTTTTGATAAATCGAAAAGGTTACTTGCCTTAGTTTTCCAAATAGTAAAACTCTTGAAATTGACGAGTACGTACGTGACACAAGAGGGTTAAAATAGGACCTTAAAGTAGTTTAGGATAAGGTGCACTTCTTGTTTAGTGATACGACGTGTCTTGGTAACATACCTTTGATCCTTGGAATTTTCCTCTTTCAACATGTAAATGTTAGCCTTAATCCTATATGTGGTAGGTTTAAGGACATGTTTAATAGTTTTCTAAAAAATAATGATGCGATGATTACATCGAGGAGAATAATGTGTATAGAAATGCAATATGACATTCGTTTATTGGATCTTTGTTGGCCTTTAGAATTCTTACATACCAATTGTTGAATTCAATCCTTTGATTTTTTTATCTGTTAGATCTAACTCGATGATTTTTATTTTAGAATAATTTTTTACTTTTATATCTTTTATATTTATTTATGTAACCTTTAAATCTCTAAAGCTCCTAGGAAATCATATTTAGACTTGTGTTTCTTCTTCTGCTTTTTGTCCATTGGTTTCAATTTTTTTCTTCTCATATATATCTAACCTACCATTTATTACATGTTAGAATATATCACCATGAAGAAATAATAAAGAAATTAACAATAGAGTTTTTAAAATAAGTAAAAAAATAAACGGTCTATAATCATCAAAATTCTAATAACATTTTAATTAATTTTTACAAACATTTAATAATTTTCTTAAATTAGTAAAGGAAAAATAAATTCAGTCCCCTTTCTTAATTAATTTTGTAGAGGCTAAATAGTCATATTGATAACAAAAAAAGAGATTATTAGATATACAAAAATAACAAAATGGAAAATTATGAAAACGATAACCTCACAAAAAGAAAAAGTTATAACAAATTTATGTATTATCCATTAAACTTGAATAATTATCACACTTTAAAAAACACACAAGTCTCTTTTTCTTCGATCTCAATCATTTCTTTCTTCTCCCTCCAAAATCGCGTGGATCTCTACAAAATTCTCATCTCCAATCATCTTCTCTCTCTTTCTATCGATTCCACGTCCATCCTCAGATCACTACCACCGTATGCATATTATATATTCCCAATCGATTTATTCTTCTTAACATCAGAAAGATCTAGGGTTCCGTGCTGAATCTGCAGCTCCGAATCTGAATATCTCCACCGCATTTGTTTTCTTCCATTTCGATTACGCGGTTTCGATTCGAATGCATTGAAATTCACTCGTTCCGGTGTTGGAAAAAGGAAACAAATCAAATTCAGGATTCGTTTTGAGTTCTGTGCTTTTTTGGGATTTGGTTTTTGAATGAGAGATACGATAACGAAACTGGTTTAGATGAGTATGGAGGTGGTTACTGATGTGGCGTCATTGGACGTTGAATTGTTGCAGCTTCCCGAGATTTCCACTTTGGCTCTCAAAAGTAATCTCAATTTTGTGGAGAAGCTATTCGAACAGTGGTTGTCCCTTCCCGAAAGTAATCGATTGGTAATGCTTTATTCCGTTTTGAAATTCGCACATTGCTACGCTGTGTTATTATTATATTGGTTAGATTTTTTGGCTTCAATTGTATGCATGTGTGTGCATGAAGAATGGATTGATCTGAAATTGCTTATGGGGATGAAAAGGGGTGAGATAGTAATTGTGGTTATCAAGCAGTGGTTGTTTAGATAATGAAGGTTTCTAAGAAAGGTGCATCTTTCTTACATTAAAGTTTAACTAATTGACATGATAGTAATGGGAGTGATAAGATAATCTTGTGGTTTGGGCGAGGGATATACAGATAGGGGTGGTAAGGGTGTCATGGTTGAATTCTCTCCAATAACATTTATCATTAATTTTTTTTTTATAGAATAGTAATATCAATAGGGAATGCTGTTGCCACTTCAGGTCAAAATTTGGTAATTGGATACCAGAGGTTTTTATAGCATCCGACAAACTTACTTTATGAGAATTAAGACTTTGATGCGAGTCTGCTTTTATTCTCAGCATATTAAGTAGTAGTTGGTTTCATCTGTTATAGTTTTTACTTTTTTGAAGATTGCCGCTGCCAATTCTTGTAAATCCTGCCTACTCCCGAGTCATGTAAATTAATGATCTCCCGGTGATACTTGAAATGTAATGTTTTACAATGATATACCATTTTTTTTTTGGTTTCCTTAAATATTTAAGTTGTTCTTCTGCCTTTTTGCACGGCACTCTTCTTGGATACTCTAAAAAATATTGCATATGCATTTGGGATCCTGTTTTAATGCCTCCCTTGTTAAATGTGTAGGTAACATCATTGCTCAATGACGCCAAGTCAGGTGCTCCTTTGAATGTTCCTGGGAGTTGCTCTAGCCCAAATGCTGCAAGTAATTCTTTGCCTTCCATGTTTCCTGCTGGTACTGCTCCGCCCCTTTCACCGAGAAGTTCATCAGGTTCCCCTCGCATTGTGAAACAGAGAGCCGGCCCTTCTAATTTGGGTTCTCCTTTGAAAGTTGTCAGTGAGCCAATTAAAGAAGTGATACCTCAGGTTAAACATATCTGATATACTTTTTTTTTTTTAATATTTTTTTTACATATACTAAAATTTATTAGAAAAGGGAAGGGAAAGCATAAAAGATAATGAGATATCCTCCAATCAAGAAAAAGAAAAATACATCATCGAGGAAGAAAACAATTGCAGCCAAGTTGACCAATCTCATTGCACACATGATATGGAAATGATAGTCATTTGCAAAACGCCAAAACAAGGCCATATAGAATCCTGTCCACTATATTTCTAGCAAGTTGAGAGGCAGATTTGTACACACGAGCATTTTGCACCAAAACCCATGAGTCTAAGTTAAAAGACATCCAATACCAGCCAACACCCGATGAACTTGTCCCAAATAATTTATATAATATTTTTAAGGACTACTGTCCAGTTCTCTTGGTGCTTTATTCAGTGGCACTTTTCTCTCACACCTGTGTATGTCCCCTCCCCCGTCTCTCTATTCCTGTTATGTTATGTTAGGTTATGCTTACAACATCAATTTTTGCCTACTTGCAGTTTTTCTTTCAACATGGACGTCCACCTCCTAATGATCTAAAAGAACAATGCATCTTTAGAACCGATCAGTTATTCCATAATCACTTGGATGGACTGCAGGTGCATGGTGAGATATCACACATATAACTAGCTTATAGCCTGAAGAACCAGTTTGTTGCAATTAGGGATAGATGATTTTAAATAAGTTTCATATTACAGTTTCCTAAATAATCAAGAAAAAATATTTTAAATAAGTATAGAATTACACATTTTCACTCTTTAAGTTGAGTCAAAATGACTGATTTTAAATGTTGCTGAAGTAAAGAAGTGATGATTTGTATAAAATTCACTTTCTAATGTAATAAAGCGCTGTAACAGCTGGTTCTGAGAATTGTTTACTCGTTTCCTTGGCATGACAGAATTCAAATCAATTACTAAAGAAGTATGCAAGCTGCCATCATTTTTTTCCACTGTACTTTTCAAAAAAATTGACAACGGAGCTGGTGTTGTGACAAGGTGAGTGCTTTATTTTTGTGGACACAACTTTTATATCTTGTCTCATGGATGGTGATTCTTGTTTGAGCCGTTGCACTTCTAAGTTTCCAGATGCTGGAGTAGCATCACAATTTTTTGAATCATTCAGAAAGACTTTTTCACAACTAAGCTCCCAAGTCCTGATTATTGCAGTATTTATTTTTGTAAAAGGATGATTTTGGACTTCCTTTCACCACTAATTCAAATGCAAACTTGTGCCTTTGCTTGGCTTCTTATCTACGCTATATATTTCCTCTAGTTCAATATATTTGTTTGTTTTTAAAATTCTCAATGTACAAACAGCGCTGTGTTTGAATGAGTTACCAGCATCATGATTTTTGTGGATTAATGAATTCTCCAATACCACAAATATCATCTTAATCTCAAGCCTACGAGTTCTACGTTTTATCATCTTTAATGCTGATTGATTGCATTTTCAGAAGCGAGTTGAGTTTTCATACAAACCTATATTTTAGTTTCTAAATATTCGTTAATAATGAGTATTTTTTATTCCTTATACTAATGTGTATGATAAACTTTTGGCCCTGTATTGTCCAATGCAAAAATTAAAGAAGAGCCAAAAACTAAAAGAGTGACCAAGATGAAGGGAAGAAGCAGATCACAATATGCCAGCCTTAAGTAGGAATTGCTATATTTATTAGAAAGAAAAAAGGATCAACTCCCCAGTTCATAGTTTTGAAAACCAGACCACCTGGTTTGACTTGTGGAATTTGAAACCAATCATGTATCTGTTCCATGTAACCCTAGAAACTGTCTGGTTTAAGAACCCTGGAAACTACAACATGAAAGTTGTGACGTGAAATCCCGTACCATGTCTGTGTTCAGCAGTTCATGGGCGAAAGCACTGTCACTGATGCTGCTTCAGCCCATTTGTGAGTATTGTGGACTGGTGGTTCGGCATGGGAAGCTTACTTGAGAGACCCAAGACCAAAAACTTGGTTATTGTTTATGATTCACCCCCACTATGAAAGAATCTAAGTCTCGTGGACTCATAGCTGCAATGGGTTGGTTACACAAGTTGAGATCTCAACTTCTATATCTGTCAGCTTCCCCATCTTCATTCATGACATTCAAGACATTTTCCTTTTATTTTTGCCTCCATTTGGTTTTTCAGATTATGACATTCGAAACTCACCTTCTTTTCTCTATTCTTCCACATTTGTTCCTTCCTTGTGTGGCCCACTGGGGCAGCTTTCAGTTCTGCCTTCACATCCCATGTGTGAACACAGACACCTGACACGTACACGTGTCGGTGTCGGACACCGGATACACCTTCCATCGGAAGTGTCGGTGTCGGACACCGGATACACCTTCCATCGGAAGTGTCGGTGTCGGACACCAGATACACCTTCCATCGGAAGTGTCGGTGTCGGACACCAGATACACCTTCCATCGGAAGTGTCGGTGCTACAGAGCCTGTGATAACTTGGGGACAATCTTTAGGCTTCTATTTTTGTACTTTGTACAACTGTTGTGTCTTGTCTGCTACATAATGATGAAGTTCTTTCTGCACTGTGTTTAATGCCTCTCCTTCAACACCGTGGTTCTTTTTCTTGATTTAGACAATCATCTTTCCTTTTATTTTGTTGCACAGGTTGAAATCACTTGAGAGTTTCCTTCACAAAACTCCACCAAGTTGCACTTGGACTGAGCCAAACCAAAAACGGGTACCAAGTGAGAGCACAATCTCTTAGTAGCTTCACAGTATCCGATAGCCTCTCTTCTTTACCCGTTCTTCCTAAATGTTGCTTCTTGAGTTCTCCTCTAAAACTTGCAAGCTACTTCTATTCTCCAAGAATGTCAGTAATAGCATCCTTCATTCTTGTTGACTCTGACAAACTTCTGAATTTGTTGCTACACATGACTCATCCTCCAAGATTGGAGCTTCGATACCAATTGATAGGAATTGGTATTTTTGGTAAAAATAATTAGGGATCAACTTCCCAATTATAAAAATATTGCACAACTTCTAGGGTCTGCATATTTCATGCCAAACTCAACTCTCTTTCGAATGACAAGATAGCTTCTCTTTTCTCCTTATTCACTTGTTTATATACATCATACTAACCCTCTGACCTGCTAAACCTAATTAACTAACTAAAGGGGTTATTTGTTAAAGTAATTATGCGATGATTTGTTGTGCTTGGCACCAAACTAGAATTCTCCTTGATGAATTGCAATCTTAGTTGGGCTGTATGTTATGTTTCTAGCCATCACACTCATGTTTGGAAGTACATCATGTTCAAATACTTGATATTTTTCTGAATAAAACATTCCAATCTTTGACACTGGATATTTTGCTGGTTGAATTGTTGTGAAATCTTATATTATAGCAAAAACAAAGTAAACCCAGTTTATTTGATTCTCTTCTCTCTGTTGGTGTAGGAAACTTTTTGCTGAATAGTCTTGTGCCTTGTACCAAATTTTATTTCTTAGTATTTCTTTATACTCAAATCTGTAATTTAATGTTCCTGCAGGGAAGCATTTATTGATTATTGGATTAATGGCAATATGTTGACAATGGATTTAGCTACTCAAATATTCATAATTTTAAAGCAACCGCAGCTGAATTACCTAACTCAGGTTTTTTGCTCTGCTTAATTATTCTATTTCTTTTGTTTTTCATTTAATTACCTTCTACTCTATCAAAAACCTAGTCAATTTATCAAAACATGTCATTCATTCAGGTCCACATATATCCATCTCTTACATTAGAACATTATTGTACTACATTTCAGGATGATTTTAAACCTGTCTTGCGTGAGCTTTTAGCAAGTCATCCAGGCCTGGAGTTCCTGCAGAGCACGCCTGAGTTTCAAGAAAGATATGGTTTGTGATTTTTGATTGATGTAAACAAGTTTATATTCTTGCAATACTTAGTTCATTAAAAACTTTGTTTTCCTCGAGGAGTTTTCATTTCACTTTTACTAATCATCAATTTCCTTAATAGACATACCCGGTATGTAGTCCCATTGTGATGGTAAACGGTACTTTTATGATGCATTCCTAGTTAATAATATTAGGTACAATCAATTCTATGTTTATTACAATCAAGGCAAGCATTAAAGTAAGTTAGAATAACTGAGTAAGATTTTATAAATATGGGACACAGAAATTCACCTAAAAGAAATGAGACAATTAGTTACCAATACATTTTTCTCTCAAATTATGTTTGGCATCTTATGTCAGCGATTCCAAATGCAACGAAAGTGACATTGGATTTGGAGGCACATTTCATTTATCTAGTTCTCATTGTGGACAAAAATAATCTTCACTTTGGGGTTCCTATTTTTTTTCCTAAAGCCTAAAACAATGCATAATTTTGAATAGTGAGATTTTGAACTCAACTGAGATTTATCAGTCATTTCTTTTTCCAATTTCCAAATACTTGAATTTAGTGAAAGGCTTTAAGACATTTAGAGGAATCGTATAGGAATCTGCTTAACTACTACCCAACCAACTCGCATGACATATATGCACATGAATAGAGTATATATGTATGTGTATCCCATCCCAAGATAATAATTATTGTTTATTCCACTTTCTCGGACATTATCTATCCAAATATAAAGGAGCTTAATAGTTAATACATTTACTATCATTTGCTTATTTCAAACATGCTCATTCTAATATTATTCAATAAAAAATCTAATAAAAATTAGATACAAGCAAAAGTAACTATTACAATGAAATACTAGCAGAAGTAACTAGCTGTTTACGAATCGTAAGTGGCAGGCAGCATTGGCCGCAGCTGTTTAGATTGCTAGTTATTTGTGTTATAATCTCATTTTCAAGCTGTCTTTTTGAACGGCACATTTACTTTTTTCCCATATCTGTAATCCTCTTTTGTGCCATATCCGTGTTTTGTTCATCTTTACAAGTTAAAATGATTCCAACTTGTGTGTTTCTATCTATACCAGTCTCACTATTATGTTGTCACCATTATCTGGGGTTCTGCATTATGTGTTTGCTATTACATGACAAAGCTTCTCTAATCATGCCCATCTGAAACTAATTTTGCCTTGTATGTTTGTTTCATATTTCATTGACATAATACTACCGCAACCAGTTTATAAAGAAATACCTTGCAGCGAAGGAATACATCATACCTCTTTTCTCTCACTTTTTAAGCATTTCCCGTTTTAAGTTAATTTTTCAATGAATTATTAGCCAATAATATAAACTATGCGATGAATTACCATTTATATATTTTTTGTATTTAGTTTCTATTTACTACTTTCGCTGATAATTGAGATTATAATGTATATTGCATATATTTTTATGCATTGAAAACTTTTCATGTGTCTCAGTTTAGGGAAATTCCTAATCAGAGTCAACTGTTGAAATGAAATCTATCCAAAGTCTCGTATCTGGTGATTTTTTTATAAATTGTGTTGACTTGGTGCAATATTCTTAAATTGTTTATCCAATGGCCCAGCTGAAACTGTGGTATACAGAATCTATTACTACATTAATAAAACCGGAAATGGTCGTATGACTCTGAGGGAGCTTAGGCGTGGAAACATAATTGATGCAATGCAACATGCTGATGAAGAGGAAGACATCAACAAGGTTTTGAGGTAGATATACTATCATTTGTATTTACTTCACACATAATGACCCCGTCCTTTTCATCCAAAATGTATTATTATCTAAGTGCTTTGATCGGTTTTACTTTACCTGTTAATTGTCTGCAGGTACTTCTCTTACGAGCATTTTTATGTTATATACTGCAAGTTTTGGGAGCTGGACACAGATCATGATTTCTTGATAGACAAAGAGAATCTTATCAGATATGGTAACCATGCGCTTACCTATCGAATAGTTGACAGAATATTTTCTCAGGTTTGTGTGAATAACATGTTTCTTCTGTCTTGAGCCACAAACCCTACACCCCTTCTATTTTTAAATACAAGAAGTGTTTGGTCCACTGTCCATCCGTTTTTGTTTTTGATTTTATGTTTTATCATATTTATTTAAGATTCTGATTTTGACTTGCTTCAATAATATATCAGGTCCCAAGAAAGTTTACCAGTAAGGTTGAGGGAAAGATGGGATATGAAGACTTTGTTTACTTCATACTGTCAGAGGAGGACAAATCATCTGAACCAAGTCTTGAGTATTGGTATTCATTTCCTTCATTATTCATTTCATCTGTCAGTTTCTTTTTTCGAAATAAGTTATCAGTCTAGTTGATGTGCAGTTGCAAAGTCTACTTGATGTGCAGTTGCAAATGCAAGGATGGTTTGATGTAAAATTATGCGTGTTTATATTTTTCTTTATAAGGAACATTCAGTGTTACATTAATCAGTACATTTAAAATTTATAAGCTCACCTCTCCTCTGCAAATTTTTATCCCCTCCATTATTAAAGGGGAGCCAAAATATCAACAGGGATTTTACTTCCCTCCCCTCCATTCCCCCCAACCAAAACTCTTTGTAGGTGTTCAATAATAATAATAATAATAAAATGCTCTACATTTTCAAAATTCACTACCAAGCTTTCAATATAATTGACTTTGTGGTTGCTTTGCTCCTAAGTTTTTTAAATCATCAATGTATAATCTGATTTGAACTTGTCTCAATTGTCTCTATTAGGTTCAAGTGCATAGATTTAGATGGAAACGGGGTTCTGACAAGGAATGAACTGCAATTTTTTTATGAGGAGCAACTGCATCGGATGGAGTGCATGGCCCAAGAGCCTGTGCTTTTTGAGGATATATTATGTCAAATAATTGACATGATTGGACCTGAGGTTTGCCTCTTGAGCTTTGATCGGTTGTTCTGTCATATTGCATATCCCAAACTTACATCGTTTCTGATACATATATGACATTTTCCAATTTCAAATTGAAATTTTTGTTCGGCAGGACGAGAGCTATGTAAATCTGCGTGACCTGAAAGGAAGTAAACTTTCAGGAAGTGTTTTCAACATTCTGTTCAATCTCAACAAGTTCATGGCCTTTGAAACTCGTGACCCATTTTTGATTCGTCAGGTGCATAGAATATTAGTTAAGAGTTATTGCATTATTAAATATGGTTGATGGCCTTTTGCGGTAATTGGTACACATGTCTTGTTTGAATAGGAACGTGAGAATCCAACATTGACTGAATGGGATCGATTTGCTCATAGAGAATATATTAGGCTTTCAATGGAAGAAGACGTTGAAGATGTCTCTAATGGAAGTGCAGAAGTTTGGGATGAATCACTAGAAGCTCCCTTTTGAAATAATTTAAGTAAGTGCTTTTGAAATGCGACTAATCTTCTGAGTATGATACATGATCAGAAGTTCTATTTGTGTTGTACACCACACTTGGATACAGAAAGTTGTGGTCTTTGTTCACCATAGTTACCTCTATTAATCTAAAAATATTCAGTAATGTGACACCGTATAATATTCTTTTATATTGATCTATATATTTTAATACAGGGATGAAAAAAGATTAGTGCCCCAAAATCTATGGACTGGCCTTTGTTCAGATACTGGACACAGTATCAGCTTTTGAGTTGGATCATACCAGCTTTGCTTCTAATAGTGAGAAATTCCAAGCCTCATTGTGGAATGTGTTATTGATGAGCAGTCTCCAAGAATATTCAGATTTGCTGGTAGGGACATAAGTTGATCATGGAAGTTTTGTTGGCTTGTACCAATATCCATGCAAAGTGAGGAGTTTTGCTAAGAATGTTTTGGAAGAATGAATTATAGACACCATTAAAAATATTTTACTATTATTTAGGGACATCTAAGTTGCTAAGGAACTTAATGAATAGTATGATTTTCTCACGTTTTGATCATTTAGTGGTTTGCTTCAATGATCAGATCTGAAATTCCTGCTGTCCAAGATCTGTCAAAAAGTACATTTGTTTTTCACCTTTGCATTTGATTGTCTTTCAATGATATTTTTTGTTTTGCTAGTAATTGAAATATTTAGAGAATAATGATAGACAAATAAAATGTCACTTCTATTTTATTTAGAGAATAATGCTAGACAAATAAAATGTCACTTGTATTTTTTTGGACAAACAAATTAATCTTTCAAGATTTATGCAGGATTATTTGAACGACTTAGAGCATCTTCAATGTCATTGCCGCATGACTTATATGGCATTAAGTTCAAACGTAGTTTAAAGGACCAAGTCTATTGCAAAAACAAACAAAAAAAGATTCCCAAGTCAGCATTTTACACTAAGTATTTTTTAAGAGGGGACTCTCGAAAGTCAATTAATTGGCGTGGGGGTATTGCTGCGCAGGGTTTGATCAGTTGCTAGGCATTTTCTTTTTAGTATAGTATTCATTTATTTTGTCAAAGTCTTCATTTATTTTTGACTAACTGGAAAAATCTGGTTTTAGTACTAACATTTTGAGGTAGTTGGACGTTTTGGCAACTCCTTCTAGTCAAATTTCAACTTATATAAGTGCATGACCTTATTATAGTCACGTGTTAATTATATGTTGAAGAAGAAACCAAATTCAGAGCTTATTTTTAATAGACTACTAGTAAAAATATTGACAATAAATTATAATCATTATATGAGCAATTTTTGAAGTATTTATAATTGAAGTTAGACCATCTTATTGATATATGATTTTTTAAAAAATAAATATTTATACGATTTTTATGATTGATTGACAATGTAATTATTATTATTTTTTAAATCAAATAATAAAACTTGAAAATTTCTTATCCCATCGAATAGGATGGAAAAACACTGAAAAATTCAAAATGTCTTTCAAATTTCAGAGATTCATATCCGAACACACCTTATTAAAATTAAAACGTTAACTAATTCGGATATGGATCTCTGAAATATTTTAGAACACATACCATGAATCCCACTTTGAAAGTTATTTTACATGTTTATTGTTCTAGACATTACGGAGATGCATCTCTGAACCCTACCAGAATAGTGCATAATATGTTTGTTTTATGGTTACACAAATGAAAGTGATGATTTATAAATATTTAGAACCCTGTTATCTAATGAGATTTAAACCATACAATCGATAGGTAAAAAATGACATATATAAATCCAGACGGTCCAAAAATGACATATATAAATAAGGCCGCAATACACGATAAAGTAGAATGAAGTGAAAATAAAATACAATCCATAATGAATCCAAAATATAACTATTATATACTACTGTATATGTTAGACTACAACTTATTTGGCTCCTCGTGCTCCTCGGCGTCCACTACCTTCCGTCCTCCGACACTGTCTTCGGTACATCAGTGTCTCTCGTGCCTCCTTATAATGACATCTAGGACTTGTCTCACCTTAGAACCACCAAGGAAGATACCTATGTCAATGCCTGGTTGCACAATCTCCATTATGCGACGACAACTAGACAAGACATCATGTGCATTATCTAACTGTGTATGCTCCTCCTCTAGTATCTTCTGATGAGCTAGCCTCAGTAGATCTCTTGGAGCAGCCTGCACCATATACGAATGTGACACCCTAAAGAACTATCTGATGTACCCATCGACATAGTTCTAGTTGCTCTCAGCTATGGTACTTCGTGCCTCCTCTGGTATTTGATGACTAAGATAATCATCAAACTTGACATCCATCTTTCTACGTGTCATATCAGAAGGAGCAGAGATAACAGGGTGATTAAGAATAATCTGAGTGTAACCGAATTGTCGTTGATGCGCTCAGGAAGATGTGGGAATGTGAGATGTGAGCCGCAAGTCAACCATCCTGAGTATAACACTATGCCGTCAAATGGTCACGTCTCACAGTGATTGACATAGCGGTTAAAGTGTATATCCTCGACAACCAAGAGGCCAAGATACACTTTAAATGGCTCTTTCGTCTAGTTCCTTCTGAGCGGGGAAAATGCAGAAGCACGCAACATATCCTCAATGTAAGTCGGTACACACGACCGTCCAGAGATGCGTGGGAAGCGTTGAAGGATTCAAGCCTGAAAAGTGTTGGAACACACGAATAATAAATAAGGGCGTTGCAAAAATGTAAATGACACAAAAACATTAAAAGGCTAATAAATATTACCGCCATTAGTGTGATGTTGGTTGTGACCTACTTCATCTTCCACCTACAAACTTATGATAACTTCGAGTACAAGTAGACCAAACAAGCGGCCCCTTAGTTGTACTCATGGATTTGCTCGAAGTATCGTAAATAGACAAAATTCATATAAGTGGCACTCTTGTCCACAAAAATCGCAGTGCCAGCCAAATATTGTAGGTATGCTCTTATAGCATTCGCTTTATGGATCCCCACCTGCTCGTCATCTCCTCTAGTCTGCTCTACTCTAACGATCTCATATGTGTATACCTTTTTCAAGAATTCAAACCTAGCATGAGCCTCTCTATTTTTTTAAAACTCCCTCATGGCATCCTATGAGTTAACTCCCAAATAGTCTACCATCATCTCGAGTGACTCGTCTTTTCTAATCCTCTCATGAAATTCCCTGATCGAAAGATGCAGCAAACACGAAACATCATCGAGTGTGATACACATCTCACCTTGCAGGAGATAAAATGATAAGTTATTTGAGTACCATCTCTCCACGAATGCATTAAGCATCCCATGGTTGACCATAGTATAACCGATCATGCACAAGTCCTTCATCCTAATTAGGGAAAAAGAAGCATGAAACCACTCCTCATTCACCTAAGGCAAGCCACTAATCTTTCGCCCATGGTTAATAAACTTTAGTAGATCACGATCCTGCAGAAAAATAAATCTATGTCAGAAACTTGTAACATAATAATAAACATAAATTAAAAAAATGAATCCAACTAATTTTACCTTTCCGTTTTAGATATGTCTGGCAGTATGGTTTGGGTACAGAGGCAGTTGTGACAATTCTACAGGGCCTCTTTCAAATGCCTGAGGTGGCACTGGCTCAACAACCTCATCAGCCGAATGTGGCACTAGCTCAACAACCTCATCAGCCGAATGTGGCACTAGCTCAGAAGCCTCATTAGCATTAGGTGCCTCTGATACCTGAGGTGGCACTTGTAACGCCTTAGACTGCTTTCAAGATTAGCGATTGACCCTACAAACCAACACAAGTATTTTCAACATGTTTTGTTCTCACTCATAGACGTTCTTATTTGTTAGGCTACCGAAAAGAAGATGCATCTTGTTGGTATAGGTAGTACAATCAATCCTTATAAGAATTCATTCAACCATGTAGGCGCAACTTTACATAACCTTAAGATCCATCTCATTTCGACGTGAATTCAGTGACCACTCTCTGCCCTCTTCGACCTCGAGAGTTACATCCACTCTTCGCCCACTTTGGCCTCGGGTGTTACATGACCACCAGCTTCCGCTTGGTTCATCCCGAACCACATCGTACTGTGAGAGGTCTGGCTATGATACCATTTTTAACGCCCCAGACTGCTTTTAGGATTACTGACTGCCCCAAACATCAACACGAGTCTTTTTCAGCATGTTTTGTCCTCACTCACACACTTTTTGGGAAAATTCTCAGAAGATCACCCATCCAAATACTACTCCAAGTCAAGTACATTTAACTATAGAGTTCATATTTGTTATGCTACCGAAAAAAAGATGCATCTTATTGGTATAACTAGTACCAATTAATCCTTACAAGCATTCATTTAACCATGCAATCTCATCCCTGCTCAACCTCAGGATCCCTCTTATTCTCATGTGAATTCGACGATCAACCTCCTCCCTCTTGGCCTCGAGTTTTACACCAACTCTCCGCCCTCTTTGGCCTCAGGTGTTACAACACTGGAACACGAGGTACCACCAGTGACTTAGGTACCTCTAATGCTGAAATAGGTGAAACCTGTCGCCTTTGGGAGGATGAAGGCAATGATATACCGATAGGTGAAACTTTCCCTACGGGAAGAATAAAACGGAGAAGCATGAGCCCCGTAAATAGATGCCTCTGCATGGCTAAAGTAAACAGGAGCTTCTGGAACCTAACTCTTCTCCTCCGCACTAATGCATGATGTGCAATCCTCCCGTGCCTTAGTCTGTCATCTTTATCAGCCATAACACATAAGAGTAAACCAGACAATTAGTATAAGCAACCATACAAGCAAGAAAAGCAAAAAAAAAAAAAGACATAAAATTTATGCAGATGCATCTCTGGTGAGTGTGCAATCCAAACGTTGAAAATTTCAAAGATGCATCTGGAATTTTCTGCAACTTTTTAGCTCTGTCAATGGCGGCAATGCAAACCACTAAACCCCAAAAATAATGGTTTAAATCGTT